CATCCCCGACACCTACACGAACATGAAGAAATATGCCTTTGGAGTCCTGTCGATCTTCGGATCCACATATGTATGTGAGCAGCTATTCTCCACCATGAACTGCATTAAAAACAAACACCGCTTACGGCTCACAGATGACAGCTTACAGTCCTGCGTAAAGATGAAAGTGACTTCGTACAGCCCCGATTTGCAGAAGCTGTGCGCAGAGGTTCAGGAGCAGAAGTCCCATTAACCAGGTAAAATAAATATTTATGCAGATATTTTGCAAATATTTAATTTTCATTGTTTAGTGACACAGTGCTTTTTCCCCCAATTTATTTTATATATTCAGGTCAAGGCTCCGCTGCATACTTTGAAAGCCCAAGGCGATATAAGGATGACGGCTCACGGATTTTTCCCTTTTGTTTGCTGCATGCACAATTTAAATTCAGCTTTTTAATTTATTCGAAAGAGACATTCAGACATTATTATTTTTTCAAGAATTCAAAATGTGTTCATTACATCGGTAAAATTTAATTTTCTCCGTAGCACTTCATAAGACATAACCACACTATAGTTGTTTATACAAAGTGTAAAGGTAAGAAAAAGCAATATATACAGTGTTATCTTCATTTTAGATAAGATAAATGGATATAAGGATGACGCCTCATGGCATTTTTCTGCTTTCGTTTGCTACATGGACAATTTAAATTCAGCTTTTTAATTTATTTGAAAGAGACATTCATTGTTAGTATTTTGTGGAAACCGGGTTCAAATGGCTCTTTCGGTGTCAAAGGTTGCCGACCGCTGACCTAGGACCTGTTTGCCATGGGTGACCCTGCCAGGGGCATAAAGCCCCAGACAACTTCGCCCCTAGGATAATTGGGACACACAAACCCCTCCATCACGGTAAGGTGTCGGCTCACGGAGGGGTACTACATCATTCAATACAAAAATGTACATGGTGGAGGTGGCCATACTACCTAACTTGTGATGATGAGTTTGTGCTATGATATAATCTGAAACCCAAATGTTTAACTGTCAGAAAGTGCACACGCACATACTAAGCACAATAACATCACACATCTGTGACTGTCTGCAGACCGCAGACCCTATGCTCGAATCACATAATCAGTTTGTCAAACTCGTCAGTAATTAAGTATCTTTTCCAAAACCTGTTAATTTCAGCAGGACACTCTGCAATGCACAAACTCTGTGTTGCATTGCTTACAGAAACTGCTGGGACAATGTTTTATTGGCACATTGAGAGGAAGCATATACGGTAACCATTAAATTAACTACACTAAGAAAGTTGAAATCAGAACAGCCTGTTCTAAAACATCCATCCATCCATCCATTTTCTGACCCACTTAGCCTCACAAGGGTCACAGGGCATGCTGGAGCCTATCGCAGCTATCTTAATGTCTTAATGTTTTAATCTCTGATGTTTTCTCTGAGCAGGTTAACGAGGTCAACCTCATATTCCCTTCTCAGAGTGTCTTCATGATGTTAAAACACAAAGTTTGTGAGTTTTCGCAAAACTCTGCCATCATGGCAGTTTGCCAATAAAACTGCTGATTTTGAGGGTCTCAAAATGCATGAAAACTCATGAAACTACAGTACACACACATCAGGCCAAGCAAAATAATTATTTTATTCGTATATTGTGCACCTTTCAACAAATGGCTCACTAGCGCTCCCAACACATTTTTAACGAAGCAGTCGTGGTTGTGCGTTTCACCTAGGTCTACTAAAATTTCATGGTATATGGGTCATTCCTGAATTGGAGGACATTTTGGCTTCAAAATTCAAAAATAAACTCACTTTTCTGATGTTCTGCCACTTCATCAATAATAGGCAATAAACTATCTCTGTCTTGTTTGTAAAGTATTTTTGTAATATTTTTATTATTCTATTTTTGCTCTACAACCCAGCCGCTGGGGGGCAGTGCCCTCCCCTGGGGGTGCACTGTTCCCCAGTGCCGGTCCCAAGCCCGGAGAAATGGGGAGGGTTGCGTCAGGAATGGCATCCGGCGTAAAACTTTTGCCAAGACGACCATGCGAGTTGGTAGGACGGTTTACAGGGGCGGATGGAATTACTGACTCGCTGTGGCGACCCCTGAATAGGGACGTGCCGAAAGGAGAAGAAGATTCTATTTTTGCTCTACATCATTGTTTTCGATTTTGATTGTGGATGCTCATTGTTCTATTGAACCTTGCCTTTGCAAACGCTTTTGGGTTCATGCATTGTTTTTTTCTGTCTCTTTGTGACGAGCGATTTCAGTTTGTACTTTGTCGGTACAATTTTTTTCATAAATATTTCTGTTGTCACACTTCGTTCGAGCCGGCCTTTTTGGAATCTAAAAACATGATTCAATTCGGTCTGAACCCGACAGCTAGACTGGGTAGGTATTGAATTGGCGTAGCTGCTTATAGCTGTCCTCACTGGCTACACTATTGGATAGGTGGGCTGATGTAATGAAGACGCTGGTAGCTGTAGTATTCTTGCTACTGCAGGGAGTGCTTGCTTATGAGGTGCACCAAATTGTGTTGTCGAAGTTAATGTTGCTGGAAGCGACTGAATTTGTGTGGTAATTTGGTCATAGCTGGGGCTTTAGGCAGTAATTTACCAAGCAGTGACTTTGCAGGTCGCATTACCTGAGAGGAGGTGGGAGCCTTCCATACACCATTGGCAATTTCCGAGATGCGCGAACTTGTGGTGCTCTATTACACTGAGTTACCTTATTTACTTCTGTTGTTAGAGAAAGACACAATGGGAGCCCGAGTGCTGGGGCGAGCTGGCAATCTTGATTAGCAAACCTGGTCTGTAGGCTGAGTGACTGCAGCTGCTGTGTTGTGGCACTTAAAGTGACATGCTGTAGACTCGGAACAGTACAAAGTGTGAGGGAATGAGGACTTGTAGTTGAAATCCAAAGCACAAGAAATATAACGGAGACATGCTAACCACCTGTCCACCTTTCTGCATAGGGAAAAAGATAGACAGATAGGTAGATAGATAGATCGACCACCGCCTCCATTCTCTAACACCCATGCATTTCAAACGCACACTCATGCAGTTGTTGTTTGTCTGATGTGATATCAACCGTGAAAAAAAAAAGTATTTATTTTATTTACTTATTTTATTCCTGTTGTCCAATTCAGCAGACGGAATACAGCACCACAAGTTTGCACACCTCCTGGTTTGGTAGTATGGCATTGAGGTGGTAAAGCTGTGAGTGATTTGTTAAGGGAATTATTGAGGTGCTTACAAAATACTTACAAGTTGCAGGCATATACTGTTCCTCCATGATAACAAGCAGTCTGGATGATTTTGACAGCTCACACATTTCTTTCGAGATATTATTTAAAATGAATAAGTGCCGCAGTGAATACTATCCAAAACAGTCACCATCCATTGCCTTCAAGTTACTTTTGAAACTGACCGACCATGAGATACCAACACATATCCAGAGAGTGGCCCGTCTCATTTAATTGTTGTGCAATGGTCGTTGGGACAACCATTGAGCAGTGATCCATTTAACTCCAGGAAAGCTTCTTTGGCCAACAAGTTTGAGAGCGGCAACTCAGCAAGTACTAAACTGTGCCACCTCTCTCCACACCTTAAAAAATGTAATTCTGCAAAATAATTCACATTTTTATTAACTGTAACTGTAGTCTTTTTACATTTTTCTGTAATGGTAGTGAAATAGTTACATTGTTTTTGTAACCTGAATACATACATGTATTTCATTACTTCCCAAGTCTGTTCAAATTTTACATACACACCCGATGAAAAGTGTCTATGAGAATGAGCTCAGATGGCAAAATAAATGAAGAGCTTTTGATAAAAAGAGCAGAGAAAAAATGAAGGTCAATCAGTGGGTTGTTGTTTTTTCTTTCCTTTCCTAGCTTATGGCGAAAGGAGATGCTGGTGACACTCACACCTCGCAGGGTGTTCTCCTCTAAGGAGACTTCATTTTGTCTCCTCTGGGTATGAGGCTGTGGTGTAAATGACACACAGAGAAATGTAATGTGACAGCATTCGCTATGGATGTAGGAGGTTGTGTGTACATGCAATACATTTCATGTAAATTTTGTTTTTGAAAGTGTGTGTCTATGTCGAGACAGCCTTAAGATACTAAAGTCAATGTCAGTGTTGTTGCGACAGCTCAAATTTATTTATTTATTTTTTTGCCTGGAGGTTCCTAATGAATTGAACAGGGGGTAAACTAAGTAATGATTAAAAATACAGTCTAGAGGCCAATATGACATTCCAAATACGGTTAATAACAAAAATAATACATTTTAGTTGCAACACAGGAAAAAAAACATACTTAATAGCAAAATACATGACAAAATAGAAAAGCAAAGCAAAACTGGGTAAAAGCGACAAAAAGATGTTAAAAGCATTGCATACAGTTGATTTTTAAGAAATGATTTGAAGGGTTGGAGGTCAGTATAGTTGCAGATGTGTTGAGGTAAAGAGTTCCAGAGGGTGGGGGTGGGGACAGAGAGGGCTTGGTGCCCCCGCCAGGTTTTGAGCTTGGTCATGGGAAGTTTGCATTTGAGGAACAGAGGTTGCGGGAAGGAATGTATGGGTTAAGAAAGTCGGAGAGCTCGGAGGGGGCCTGATTTAGGTGATGTGTTGGTAGAAAGAGATTATTCTCAAAAAGGATGCCATGGTTGCAAAGGTCGATTGTATGAGCCATTCAAAAACTGAGAAGAGCAGCACATGTTGAAAACTCGATTAAAAAAAATATATATTCCTGAAAAATATGTCCGTATATATATATATATATATATATATATATATTATGTCCATATATAAAAATAAAAAAAAAATCCTCGTCTCACCCCTCGGGTGGTGTCCGTTCCCCAGTCAGCTCGGGTCCTCTACCAGAGGCCAGGAAGCTTGAGGGTTCTACGCAGTATCCTTGCTGTTCCCAGCACTGCACATTTCTGGACTGAGATGTCCGATGTTGTTCCCGGGATCTGTTGCAACCACTCATCTAGTTTATGGCTCGACTTGTTTTCGTTCATCAGCGCATTGCATCAGGAGATGTTCCATGGTTAACTTGAGCTGATCCTGAAACGTACTCAGCCAAATCAAAAGATTGTGATTCGGTTCCAATGGAGAAAGGAAGATAATGTGCTCCTGGAAGTTGCCGAAGACCCCAAGTACCCTCGTCTGTGTGTCGCGTGTATCCTGTCCATCCACAGTTCCAGATATTTCCTCCACATCCATCGACTGTACCCCTTTAAAAAATTTCCGTACAAAGGGTAACAGAGAGGTGGGTGTTGGTTGTAAAGATAGTAGTTCCACTTCTTCCCGGTCACTCAAGAAGTAGAGTCTCGGAAACAATTTGCAGCGAGAATGGAGACGATTTGCCATCTGGCAAGCAAGAGCATTCAATGTTGATATCTCATTTAGGAGAATTTCGCAAAGGCTGCCGCCGTGGTGGGTTTCTATCCCCGTTTTGGGACGGACAAGATTCAGCACATCGGGGTGAGCCGCGTTGTGACACATCATGGCCTTGAAACGCTCATCAACTGATCGGAATTGTGCCAGCTACGAAAAAAGAGAGTCATTTTATTATTATGATTTTTTTTTAACTGAACTTAAAATCTTTAGCTTCAGACAGCAACATGGATATTGGTTTATCTCATAATCATGATTGCACATACCAAATCCCATCTTTGAACACCCAAGGTTCTTTCTTGAAATATCTTAGTCAGGAAGATCCATTTTTGCTGATAGATCTCAAACAAATGCAACAGCTTCTCTACACGGGCACAGCGGAAACCACTTTTTATAATATACGTTTTTTTTTAAGTTTCATACAATTTGTTTTGCGATAGCTGGAGCTACAGAGTAACGTGTTTACCAAGCTCTTGGAGCAAGTGCATCCACTCTTCTACTTGTGACCTAAAGTCGACACTGTGCCGTGAGCTGTGCATGTTTGTCATCGTCATCAAATCCGTTTCTATCTCAGAGAAGAGAAATTCTAGGCCTAGTTGTGGGAAAGTAAAACAAACAATCCAATCAAATGCATGAAGAAAACCTGAAATGTTCATTGCTTTACATGCTACATTATTAACTTACCAATGATAATTTTGGCATCACAAGAGGCGTCAGAAGTGGAATTCTTTGTCAATATCTGTGGATCAGCAAGATGCCAACAAGGACCTGTACAGTAATGCAGCTGGAAAATACGGTTTGTCCAGGCCTGTTGAATTTTCTGAAACGTATTGTGCACTGCTGTTATGTGCAACCTCCTTCTCCCATATGCCTTTCCAGTACCTTTCAGTTTCCAGTCTTGGTGGGTCAGCTCTGCTGTTAGGACCCTGCCACTGAGCGTACACTTTCTCAGGTTGTGTTGCGAACAGCCTGTTTATTCGTCTGGCCTCATTCTCTTTCGTGTACCTCTTTAGGCGACTGGACAAGGCTTGGAGCCTTTGTTTGGCAGTTTCGAGTGCTTCAGGTATGGTCATCTGGATGTACCTCTCAGGTATCGGCCTTTTCATCACACCTCTCTGGGCCTCCGTCAATTGACTCACATCTTTCCGAGCTGCCTTGATCTTAGCCTCCAACCGTCTTTTCCATGGTGGGTAATGTGTCTCTTGGCTCCCATGGTTGCTCCTATAGCCAAGCATCTCTAGGATCACTGATGCTGAAGCGTATCACTTATCATTGGTTTCCGTGATCGTTATGGTTGGGATCGTTCTCAGTGCTGCATTCACACTTTCCATGAGACTTTCAGGTGGTACTTCACATAGTCGTTGTAATCGGTTTCTAGGTTGCCCAGCTTTCATTCTCGCCATGATCTTAGCTTTCAGGTCAGTTGCTGCCTCGCTCAGCATTTCATTCATTGGGGCTGGCCTCCCAATCTCATCATCTGCATTCATTGGGGCTTGCCTCCCAATCTCTGGTATGACCTCCTCCTCTGATCTGGCAGCCTGGGGCCCTTCACCATGGAACCTGAGTTGTACCTCATCAATCTCAAGTTGTGGATGTTGGAACACTGAGCTACTAGTTGCTTCGTGGTCAACCGTGACTGTGGGTTTCGAAGTAACCATTCAGCCCGCATTCTCTGCATGTAACCCCTCTGACT